GCGCTTAGCCGCCGCCCCCCCACCCCCACTCGCCCGCCGCCCCCCGCGCCTGCGCCTTGCGGCCCGTGCGCCCGGGGGTCCCCCGGAGCACACCGAAGCGTTCCGAAGCGAGCAGAAGCGCTCCGAAGCGAACCGAAGTCGCCCGAAGCGAGCGCCGTCTGCCGCCGGGGCGACTTCGACGTTAGAATACGGCAGATGTAACTAAGCTCGGTTAATTCACTTTCGCTCTCGAAAGTAACCTTTACGTTTATTTCCTATTATTTCTTTACATAATCGCGATCGTTGTGCGCCGCTCGGCCTGCTGTCGATCCGTTAGATTCAATGTATTTGATAAAATAGTTACAAAAAAATATTCTGTACTTTTATTGTTATTTCATGTAGTGCTATACCGACTTAGGATTGCCTTAAAATAGTTGAAATAATTTTTCGTTTCTCAAACTTTCTGTACTTGCCGTGCAGCAGGCCGAAGTATTTAGCATTAGATTATTGTTTCTAATAAGATGGGCTTATATACCTATTATACTATAAAATTAAAACACAATTTGGCTCTTCCACATCACTCAATGATCTTTGATGAGTGTAGCCATCGTTGTTGATGAATATCAAACAAAAATGTCGACATAATACGAACGAGACGTCATGTTCTGAAGTTCAAAAACGATGCCGTTAGAAATTGCTTCGAATATCATCTTTTAGATGCCGATTGTTAACAATTAAGGTAGTCGCTTTATCATCCATTTATGTAACAGAACATGACACAAAAAATTAATGTATAACTTCTCTCTTTAACGTATATATTAATGTATCTTGGTGTGTAGTTTATGTTAGTTTTAAACTCGTCTTCCATACTTCTTTCAATAATGAGTGCTTAGGCTGTTTTGGTATCATATAAAACCATAGATGTACAAGTATCATAGAAATTTTGCGTCAAAATTTTGTCAAATTAGATTAGTAGTCATACAACTATATAAAAAATTCTACTATAGTTTGGAAAATCCAGAAGTGCACGTCTCATGAGCGTTTATATATTTTGAAAATTTGATGAAAATAAAACTTTTAAACGGTGTTCAATAACAAAAATACGGATCCTCTTTAGAATATATGGAATCTTATTTAATCCTATATATCTCAATCTATTGCTTACATATTTCTATTAAGCGAGAAGACTCACCGACGCACAGACCAACGAACGGCAGTCCATGTATTTTTCAATAACATTTTTTGTTTTGTAATCTACAGTGGATCAATTAGAAAATAAACTAATCTTATAATTCAATGTCTGTAGTTATTGTAACTTTGATATATGAGTCGATAATAATATGGATTTGATGTCTAGCTTTTTAGCTATACTTTTGTATAAGAACGATTTTATGTAGCGAAATTGAGGCATGGCCACATGTCGAGAATAGAGCACTCCCTCACGTTGTGAGGCGTGCAATAATCACAAATCAGAGAACAGATATTAGTGTTTTTCTAGTAACAACCAAGGATTTACACTACTTCACTTTTTAGGATCGAAGAACAATTTTAACAGCCAAAGTTCATAAAGAGATCAAGGCCATAAAGGAATGAAAACCTACAAGGTTTCCATTCCATTCCATAGTCACGTACAATGCGATGAAAATAAGAATGGAGTCTGGTCATTAAATAACTATAATCTATTGAGTAGGATCGGCAAATAAATTTCATTGTATCATGCCAATACAAGAAATATTGCATTTATTTTTGGTACATGTTTACTACATATAATTTTAAGAATAATTGAATATTGTTTATAAATTATTTAACTAAACAAATATTGCTTTGAAAGTTACTTCATTCCATAAAATATGCAAAAAATCCTGTATAATTTTGTGGGTGTTTTATGTATCATGATATGATTCTGTACTATGTAATCCTTTTTTTTTAGAGAATAAATAAAATAATTACCTTGAAAAAAAAATACAATTCAAATAATTTCGCGCCACATGTATTGCGTGTACATTTTCCCACATGGCAATGCATGTGACGCGGACGGCCGTCGGATAACAATATCTAAAGGTCACGATTTGACCTCTTGTTGACTTCACTTATCAGTTTCTTCGTTAGAAACAATAATTTTCCCAAAATGCACCTCCTAATACCTGCGAGCCGTATGTGCAAATAGTAGTAACTTCTACCCAAACACATTAATTAATATTTTAATATATTCTTGATTAGAGTACGACATTTCTCGGAATACAAATCATATCAACGCACCAAAGGAAATAACTACTCTGAATCAATCTGTGCGCAAAAATGTGAAAATACAAGGTCAATCTTAATCATCTTAACCTCAATCATCACCGTTCACGTTCCAGCTGTTTTTTGATTGCGCTTACACGATGTGTCATGGCGGTGCTTTTGAGCGCGCGTGGTGCTACTGTTGTCAGAGTTCTGACGATGTCGACACTGTTACCGCTATACGTTTAGAGATACCGTCGCCGACGACGGTGTTACCAAATATTAAAAATTTTGCAAATTTTTTCACAAATTGTGTTAATTAGGGTAATAAAAATATGAATTTTAAATACCAAGAATATTTCTGATGTTTATTTTGGTAATTGCATTGCGGTACCTACCGTGCCCCTTTCTGATTGGACAGGGTTTTTTTAATATAGTATAAAACTATTGCTACATAGCTGTTTCAAAATATCAATTTGCGGTAAAGACCATAATAGTCACTAAATTTTTACTCAGTGGAATTGAATGCAACCAATAAATTATCACACTTGTGTAAATAAATAAATAGTTTATAATAATTCTGACTTTTTAACAACATACACGAGTGAATTAAGTTCAAAATATCATAATATGACGATAGACTAAGCCATTGATATTTTATTTGAGTATGTAGTTCATAAACTAAGTTTTTTACGCATTGCTCTGTAAAAACTATATCACTTAATTTTATTTTTAATAAATAAAAATTTCATGCTAATACATTTTTTGGACAAATTATAAAATACCAAATAATACATATTATGCTATTTACACGATATATACTATTTAACATGCTAATATATACTTATTTCTGTAAGAATGATAGGAAAATAGTACGCTTTATAAGATTTTATGTTTTAAATTAAATGCAAATCAAGAAACTACTTAAATAAGGACAGAGTGGCCTTGAATTTTCGACCAAGTATATGGTTTGCGTACACTTATGACAAATTGATAAAGTGTGACATTTTTTCAGGTGAACAGATAGCACTTTTTAATCCATCATTAAAACGTTAATTACTAAAATGAATGTACTGGTTTGATTTGTGCGCTCTTTTTTGTCGCACGGGTTTGGGCTACTGATTGTGCCTCTATGGTTTTATACAGATATCGAAGTTGTATTAAAAAAATATTTTCTTCATTCTACACTCGGTGTCTTAGGTGTTTAGTTTTACTTAAAGATTTTTGACAAACATGTATAATATATAAACTTGCCTCCAGTGAAAATTAGAATAAATATATAAAGACTACGGATCTTAAAAATACGGACGTAATGTCTCCCGGCAGCATGGGTGAACCCTACAAATTGCCGCCCACTATTTGTGTGTCGTGCTTAGAGAAATGCCAGATAAAACTTTTAATTTTACCCCTAAATTTAGATGCAGCAAATAATGTTTTTATTTACAATTATACACCATTAACTCTGAATAATGAAACAAATTTGAGAACTAATACTTCTAATTTTAATGCTGTACCTAATTTAAATTCTGGTCCCATAATGAAAGTTGTTCAGTTTCAAGAGTAGAATCTCTAACAGTGTATGTTTCGGGGCGTAATCGAGTATGAGTAATCGGAATCCGAAAACAGTAACCTTGATGTTTTTAAGTCATGAATACTTTAATACCAGTGCTAATGTAATTTTACAGCCTATATTCTGATAGTTTTCAATGTAATGAGTCCACTGCACTGCTCTGGTGCGTGTTGGTAGACTTCACATGTCCTTGAAATATTTTGTTTTCCACATAATATGTAGATTTTTTCGCAAAGTTATCCATTCGCCGATCACGTGGTAAATCTTACGCGGTAAGGTACTTAAAATTGTAATTATTTTGTTTGATGCCGGTGAGCCTAAGTTGCTAGCGTGCGCTTAACTACTAAGCTTCAATTGCTAAATACGTAGTTATAACAAGTGGTATCTATAATTAAAAAAAATTGTACTACCGACTTCAATATAAATTATTAGGGATATCTCAAAAACTACTGGTCAGACCTTGATCAAATTATGGGACCACATGAGAAACACCAGCTTTCAAATAAAAAAAATCATCGAAATCGGTTCACCAAGAAAAAAGTTATGAGCTAACACACAAAATACACAGTCGAATTGAATACCTCCTCCTTTTTGAAGTCGGTAGAAAAACAAGTACAGATTTCAACACTTGGGAGAATTTTCCTTAGAAAAAAGTGGCAGCACTTTTGCTAACACTTTTATTTCAACGATTCTACAAAATTTTAGCTAAATTATAAGAAATAACTATTTATCATTACAAATGAAATTATAGTTCTAGAACTAGGACTAGGAATTGTTGGAGCATTGCAGGTTTTCAGTGTAACGTAACGTCCGTATTTTTAAGTTCCGTGAATACAACTGTTAAAATGTCGTGTTCATGTATGTAATAAAATTGAAGCACAAAATATAAATGCATAAAAAACTTAACCGATCGACGCGTAGCGAGGCATTAGTATGATACAGGAATTATGGAAAACGAGTTACTTAATATGTATTTACGTACATTGTCTGTCTGTGTATGTGTATGCAATCTAAAATTAATCAACATGTCTACGGTCATTTGTTAGAAGTACATTGTGCTTGTAACAGTGAATACGTTTGTTTAAAGAAAAACCACTGAATTAAAATGACACAAACATTCAGATGTAATATTTAATAAATTAATAATCTATAATTTGACTTTTATTCGATTCCATTATTCTAAGCTGGACTGTGCGGTGTAGTGATGAAAACTAGCTAAATGGAAAGT